AAACATTCTCCCAGTCACATTATCAGAGGGCTCAGATGCTTGGGAAGGTTTCTCTGCATCGGGTCCGTTATTCCTCATATATTGCACTGCATTGGAATGGTTCCTGGGTAGCACCAGGTTTCCTTTGTCAATCAGCAGAAGGTAGGCTTTGAGGAAGATCAGCCAGCCAGCTTTTAATGGCCCTTTGGAGCAGCAGGAGTTTTAGAACTGCAGATCTGGAAGGAACCCAGTGGATCTTTGAGCCCAGCCCTTGTTAAGGAAGCAGCACCTTGCCTAGGAGAGAATTTGACATTAAAGAAAACAGGCTTCAAGGAGATCTTAAAATGTCCAGCAATCTGGAGGCTAAGGAAAATATACGTTACATTTTTTGCATCATCTCTACATCAGAGTCCCTTGGCTTCTAAGTACTGTATTTTTTTTGTGTGTGTATAAGACTATACTTCTGTCTAAAATCTTTAGACTAAAAATTGAGGGTCTTATACACGGAAGTAAGCTGAGGAAAGAACAAAAATAAGTGGAGGGGAAAGCAGGGATCAAAGTGATCCTGCAGGGCTTTGATTCCTGCTTTCCCCTCCACTTGCTAAGCCCCACTTGGATTTCTTAATTTTGGGTTAGAAAAGGTGGGTGTCTTATACATGGGGGCGTCTTATAAACGGAAAAATACGGTAGTTCTAGCTGAGTTGATGCTGCTGGTCAAGGCACAAGACCTCCAGGAGGTAGGCAAGGCTGAAAAGGAGAGAGAGAAAAGAAAAAGGCAAGACATGAGTGGTGCAGGGTCTGGCAGTGAGTTTTACATTAGAGAGCTTGGGTCTCTCAAGTTCAAGCCAAACTATTAATCTTTTTAAAAAATAAATAAATTAAAAATTGTATTATATTAAAACCAACATAAACGAAAACAAAACTACTTCTACATTACATTAATTCATTTCACTTAAACATACAGTGGTGCCCCGCATAGCGAGGTTAATCCGTTCCGGATTAACCTTCGCTATGGGAAAACATCGTAAAACGGATCCAAAAAACCCATTAGAACTCATTAAACAAAGTTTAATGCATTCCAAATGGGCCCAAAACTCACCGTTCTCCGATGTTTTCCCTTGTTCCGGCAGCCATCTTGGGTGTACCGGCGGCCATTTTGGGTGTACCGGTGCCCATTTTTTGTGTTCCGGTGGCCATCTTGGGTGTACCGGTGCCCATTTTTTGTGTTCTGGCAGCCATCTTGGGTGTACCGGTGGCCATTTTGAGAGTCCCGGCGGCCATCTTGGGTGTACTGGCACCCATTTTTTGTGTTCCGGCCATTTTGGAACTGCTGAACAGCTGTTCCCCCATCCTAATGCGAGCATGCCCTCGCATTAGCGATGGGGAAATCCGCATCGCCATGCGGATTCATCGTTCAACGGTGCACTCGTTATACGAGGCACCACTGTATATCTTCACCGTCGGGGTTGGTTCTGTTTTTTATATTCTTACATTTCTTTCCGCCCGATTTCTCTCCAGAAGCACATTGATTCTTCTCCTGGTGTATACCCCTTTCCTTTCTGAAACATGTATTCTAGAAATGACTTCCATATATAAACATTAACTAAGCTATGGTTCTCTTTTTAATTGTGGTTTCTCATACTAAATTCTGAAGGTGCAACAGCAGTCATACATAGCTGAAACAAGGTGGCCTTTTCAGAATGAATAGGTACAGGATCAAACTTCACCGAAGTTAATATTTTATTATCTCATCTAGCACCTGCAAGACGGCTTTAGTGTGGGCTGAGCTCTCCTGCTCTGCATCTACTTGGGAAGAGAAGTCAGGTGGCCTTTGCTTCTTTCTTCACCTGCTTGGCACATCCATCGCCACCATGAGTTTTTTTTTTGGGGGGGGACAACAACAGTGCCTGGTAATGCATCCCTCGTCCTGCCACTGCTTCACTTCACTTGGTTTTAAGGGAGTGTTGAACACCCCGGACTGAATGCTTACATTGTAATATGAAGGTCTGTTTCAAGAATGCACCTGGTTGCTTCTCTGGAAGTGATCACAAAGCACGCTTTTGATGATGAATGCATGCAAAGTTTAGAAGAACTGAAGCAAGGAAAAACAAACACTCCATTCTCTCATTCATAAAGGGGCAAAGTGAAGATCGTGGATGGCAAGTACAAGGCCAAAGCCTATATAGAGCCCTCAAGAAGGCTGCCATAGCCTGAATGATTTTAATTACTTAGTTATTTTAGGGAGAAAAAATTGAAAAATTTGTCTTTGTTCTACTGAGAAGCAGGTTTTGTATGGAGAGGCGTGGCTTCACAATCCACAAGCTTCCCAGAGCACCTGATTTTTTAAAACAAGCAAAGCTGGAAATCACTTCCTATTTTGATCTTTTCCAGACCTCATACAGTCTGAGGGGAGAGATGAGTATGCAAATGTGACTGGTCCCCGCTTTAAAAAAAAGTGGTAACTGCCTGAGCTTTAATTCAAAAGCGGTTCTGAGGTGGTGAGGACATGTTTTCCCTGCAATCTTAATCACTTTTTATCTCCAAGATAAAGGATGGTCAAGCTAGGTTGACCTCAATTGTCTTTCGCCAGTAGGCAAAGAATTTTTTTTTTTCTTCAGCTGGGCCTTTGCCAACTCAGTGAGCCACTTAGGAAGCGACTGTGGAGTTTGTACCTTCTGCTTTCATTATTTTTCTGTTTAGAATTCAGCAGCTATTTTAAGAGAACAGATAACATGTTTAATTGAGTTTTGAATTTTGTAACTTACAAGGCAGTCCCCCTGGGCACATTTTACTCTTGCAGCAACCTTGTGAGGTAAAGTTTGGGCTACAAAACAGTGATTTGGACCAAGGGCGCTCTATGGGTGGGACATCCCCATGACTCTCAGACACATCAATCAGTACATCAAAATGGCAATTCTCCTCCCAGATTCTAATGCGCATGAAACTTCCCTACCCTCTCCCTATAAGAGATCAATGTATATTTTAACTTCAAGTAGCACACTCTCCTTAACCCTTGCAGACATCACTGCCATTGAAGTGAGTGTGATATTATGGTGCTACTTATTCCATCTGCTAGAATTCATGCTTTATACTGTATTGTCTTCATAACAGACCTGTGAGGTAGGTAACCTAGGCAGAGAAAACAGTAACTAGCCTGGAGTCACCCAGGGGGCTTTGAATTGAGGTCAGTTCTGTCCTGCCACTTTCACATCATCTGTACATACTGCTGTTGTGTGCATTGAGGAGACATGTAAATATGAATGAGAGTGCCATGTTTGGGTCTGGTTGACCTGGATTGAAGCCTTCTTTCAGTAGTATACTTATATGTTCAAGGTTGACCGTGTGTGTCGCTTTGAATAAATTATTTCTTATTATTTCCTGAAGTACTTCTAACCCACAGCATATCAATATATCTCAGGTACTCTTAGTCTCAGTTACCCATCCTTAAAATGACCATCTAGTTTTTGGGAGTTGTGAATGGACTTTGCCTCGTCCAGATCTCATGTAAGCCTACACAGAACTCAAGCAAGCTCCATCAGGTTCAGCTGGACTTGCTCCCAGATAAATTTGTATATAGCAACGATCTATACATTTATTCCATAAAGTTGTATTCCACTTTTCTTGTAAAAAGTTTAAAGTCTATACAAGGGCTTTCTCTCCATGTCTGTCTTCATGACAAGCTTGCCAGGTAGGCTCAGAGACAGTAGCCCACTGGATGTTTACCTAAGTGCAAGCAGAACTGCAGAAGTTACCACCATTCATTGACAAAGCAATGAGGTACATGCAAGACGTGCAATTGCCTGCTGAATCAGGCTTGTGACTGGCATGCACCCAGAACTTTGTCAGCTGCAGATCCTGAGTTTACTCTTGCACACATGTGAATGTCCAATAAGATTTTGGCCATGGACTGCCCAGGCTCACCCTATGAGCTTTGTGGCTAAATCAGGATTTAAGCCTGGGCTCCCCAGTTTGAGACCACTACACCACAATGTCTCCCTATACAGTGGTGCCTCGCAAGACGAGTGCTTCATTTAACAAAGAAATCGCATAATGAAGACGTTTTTGTGATCGCAAAGGTGATCGCAAAATGATATTTCCTATGGTTTTTTTCACTTTGCGATGATCGGTTACCTGCTTTGCTAACTGATTATCACAAAATGAAGATTTTCGCACAGCTGATCGGCAGTTTCAAAATGGCTGCCGGGTTTAAAAAAATGGCCGCCCGCTATTTTCTGGGACGGATTCCTCGCTGCACGGGCAGCGAAAATGGCCATGCTATGGAGGATCTTCGCTGGACGGTGAGTTTCAAGCATTAATCAGAACGCATTAATCGGGTTTTAATGTATTCCTATGGGCTTTTTAAAATCGCTTTACGATGTTTTTGTTCTACAGCAATTTCGCTGGAACGAATTAACATCGTAAAGCGAGGCACCACTGTATAATCATTCAGTGTAGAAGGCACTTTCCTGTTCTGCTATACCAACCTACTTGGTGACCTTTACACCTACACATGTTACAACTGGGTAGTGAAATAAGGTAATAACCACCCAATCAACCTGTAGCCAAACTGGGATCTGAACCTTATTACTGGAGTCCCACTTGAGCCATTCTACTTGTTGACTTGAAATCCTGCCATCGGTATACAGAACATTATTCTCTATGGTTTTGCATATTGCGGGGTGGGGAAGATGTCACATCTTAATCACTGCAACACTGAGTATTTTGAAGTGCTCAGTCTCTTAAGAGGTTAACTTGAATTCATCCTGCTGGAGTCCTCAGCCAAGTTAAGGCTGATGTCGATTAGAAACTGTTTGTAACAGACGGCGTAGTCTTTTTTAAAAAAGCAGAGTGAAAACATTTTGTGCTGTCCAAAATTAAGTGCTGCCAAGCTGTGAAGCAGTAACTTGACAGAATGGATCTTAATGGGGGGGAGTTCAAGTGAGTACGAACGGATACGACTCAGCTCATGGTTTGGCCCCATCCTTCCCTTTTCTGCTAACCTCTCTTCCGGAATACATTTGTAGCCTTGGGCAGCTTCTCTGACAGAGGGAAATGTTCTCTCCAGTTACCAAAGGATGGCATGGAAGTTTCCTCTCCGTCTCTGCTGCAGCTTCACAATCTGGTAATTGCTTATTACATCTGCCATGGAAGCTTATAGCGATAGTTCCCTCTCCACTTTGATAAGCAGTTTTTTGCTGAGGAATCCTGTCAAGTGGCTGAATCTGAGAGCCAGGTCGCTAAGCTGGCCGTGCAGATTGAAGAATCTTCCAACAGCATCCATGCCAGGCTTCTGCTCACCCTGACCTCTCAGGTAGTCACTGCTGATCAGGAGGAATTATGACAAGAAGACTGTTGGAGACAGACAGGCAGGGAAAAGACAAGATGACCACAACTGATTTTTCTACGGAGATCTTGGTAAGGGATGGTAAACATCCTTTCAAGTAAGAAAGGCCTCTGTTTGCACCTAGTTTCTCGATGAAGCTGTAGAAGAAAGAGTTTACTGTTACCAGTATGCTCCAAAAGCTGATGCAGTACAGCAGCTGATTCTGGAAGTCAGTGGTTCAAATTATACCAGTTAATAATTACCAATTATACCAATTAAGCACATGGTCTGAAGCAAACTATCCTGGGTTAGACATTGGCATTCCCTAACTCCTTCTGCAATATGAGATTAATATGATCAGCCTCCCTTGCCAGGATTGTTGTAAGGATTTTTTTTTTTAAATAGTGAATCTTGAGCTTTTTGAAAACTCCAGTGTTGATGCTAGGTATTGTATAAAGCCATTTGTTCCGCATTTGCTTTGCTACTGTGCTCTTCTATTGATCTTTTGAATATTTTTCACTGAATGGTAGATAAAGAGTAGCATTTAGTGAGGTCTGTGAGATTCTGTCCTTTGGGGACACATGTACATTTTGAATGTGTGGATATCAATTTTGTCAAGCTTTGCTGAATGCATGCAATATCCACTGTCACTGAAGAAGTGCAGACAGGCTTTGAATATTGCAATTTTGTTCTGTTTTTCATTGCATGGTGATGATAAAGATAGGGCAGAGTATGTTTATCTGTTCTCATTGAGTAAGGTTAAGAAGGTTACTTCAAAAATTATCTAGCTCAACCCATTGCCAGAAGCCCACAATTTTAATATCATTGGTAGGTGGCAGTCCAGACTCTGATTAAGCACTGCTTTCCGAGTCAGCCTATTCCAATGCCAAACCACTTGTACCATCAAAATGTCCATTGTAATATTTAGTTTAAAAAAACCCTTTTTAATATTTTGAATCTGTTAGTTCGAGCCTTGCCCTCTTATGGAATGGAAAACAAATTTGTTCCGCCGTTGTAGATTCCCCCCATCCCCTTCTGTGTAAAGGTGTATGTATTGTTTCTGCATGAGACAGTTACTTTTGGAAGCTGGAATAGTCAAAAGCTTTAACCCTGATTTCTCTCTTCCCAGAGCCATGTTTAATAGCTTTTTATCTGTAGGATCATCCCAAATCACAAAAACATAAGTCCCAGCCATGGGTTTTCTATGAGGATCATAGGGTATAGGGGAGCAATGTGTGTTCCTTTGTGCTCTTTGAAAAAAGCAAAATGTAAGTAAGATAATAGCATTAAATGTTTTCCATTTCCTTGAATGTACATTGCCAAAAAGGCGGGAACATGTCAGCAAAAATTAGGACATGTGTCCATTTCCTTGAATGTACATTGCCAAAAATGTACAAGTCAGCAAAAATTAGGACATGTATTATTATGGCTTTATTTGCTTGCTATGAAATTGTTTTGATAGCTTGATATTTCTCCTTTTGCTCTGTTGTGAACCAGTTCTAGATTCTACAATATAGTTTATGAAGATGGAGTGAATAAAAAAATGGTGAGTTGATTAGCAAAAGAGGGAAGAGATTTGCATAAAATGTGTGTGTACTAATTTTAAAAGGATTAACATCTCACCACACTGGAGAAGATCATAGGCAGGTAACTTGTGAACTTATTCAGGCTTTTGCCCAAGTGCTAACTCTTGGTGAGCAACTTCATGGGCATCTTTTGAAAGTATCAAACAGAAGATACTTCCAAATAAAGGGCTGTTCTCTGAGGGCCCTCCAAAGGGAAGACTGACCTTTTGGAACATTTGTTTCTTTGTTTTATTGTTCACAGGGCTGCCCGACTGTTTCCTCCAAACATTGTTTTTATGCGCAGAGCTGTAACCTCTGTTACAGAGCCAAGAAATAGCTTTGCCTTCAGTGACGGGCAGTGCCGTTATATGTGCAGCTGCTATTTTGGGTGGCAGCAACATTTTTGATCCTGCAAGATATGTGGCACTCAGATGTACATCTGATACTGATTCATGCACGGTTGTGGGGGAGATCTCCTCTGACATAGTGACAAGATTATTGCAACAGTACAGATGTTATGTTTTCAATGCAGTTGCTTGGAATATACACCGGGGTTAAGTATACTGTTGGTTAAAAATAACAGAACGCTACGAAGAGAGAGGATTGTGTTCAACAGATCCTTTCATTGTCTGCAGCTGAATTCAAAAGCCGGGCTTAGTTATTGGTATGTGCAAAGGTCATCAATGATAGGAGCCAAGAGGAGGAATTGCTGTCTGTGCCAGGTTCATTGTGTTCCCATGATAAGCAGCCGGTTGTCTCTAAGAGCTGAAGAGCTTAAGCAATTTCAGTTTAAAATGGAGAGACACCACCCTGCTTTGAGTGAACTGATCTCATCTGATTTCAGAAAGCAAAAAAAAAAGGTTGAACCCAGTTAGCATTTTGATGGCGGAACACCGGGAATGTCCAGGTAGGGCTAAGAAAGAATCCTGTTTGAAACATCAGAGAGCTGTTGCCAGTCAACTATGATAATACCAAACTTGAGGAACAAAATGTCTGACTCAGTATAAGGAAATGCCCTATGTTCCTAACCAGAAGGCAAAAGCATAGTTCTCAGGGCTGGTTCTGGTTTTGAGAGGATGTAGAAGCCCCCTA